AGAAAGAGTTAGGGTAGTGTCCTTGGAAACAGGAGTGGACACACACACACACACTTAGACTCAAAGTTCCGGTGAAGGAACATAAGTTTCAGCGTGTTTCAGCGGTGAATACTTAGCGCCTGACTCGATGGAACCGCAAGGTGAAAGGTCGGCAACAGGTATGTTTTGAACAAGTGTCGATCAGCGGCGAGCAAATCAGCGCAAGAAAAAGCGGCGAAATAACCTGGTGAACCTGGGAAACAGCCTGCGAAAGGGTGGAAAAGTCGCGTCACTGTGTTTCAAGCATGTACGGTGATCAGCCGTGATATCCTAGTCAATTGCATGGAGCTTCGTTGGCGACAGCCATGCAGCGACCCTGTCGCCCCCTGCTGAACACGAAAAGCCGGCATACAAAGTACGCCTTGGAATGGGGTGTGACAAACACACACAACACACACACACACAGCCGCAGAGCGCGCGCTCTTGCTCTAGAGAGGAAACAAAGCAGTGGACAGCGTTGGCAATACCTATATAGGTTCTAGAAAATACCCAAAACCGCTTTTACAGCGGAAACAACGCAGTAGACAGCACTGGCATTACCTAGGTTCTAGAAGAATGACTACTTTGCCCTTGACTTGCAGAAACGAATGACTACTTTGCCCTTGACTAAAAGGCCTGATTACGCACCTAAAATGCTTTTAGAAAAAAGTCAAGCCTAGGAAGAGAGTCAAAAAGGCAGGAGAGAAAGGAACGAGACCGAAGGGTAGGGTCGGCCAAACGAACCTCAAGAGCAACCTAACAAGCCTGAAAGAACACCTAACAAACAAAGAAAAACGCAAGAGAGAAAAACGAGGGGCGGGTGGGTTGGAAAAACCATATGAAACGACATGAAACATATCATGCTACAAGGGTTGACCGAAAGATTATTCCAGTGAAAAATCTCCGTGCGCTCGGCAGCAGTGTGCACAGTTGATTCATGAACATCAGCCCAGCAGAAAGTGCAAACCGGTGAAAATCGGAAATTCAGATAAAAACGTCTCTCAAGCTGGCTTCGGCACCCGGGCAGGTCACACTTAGACTCAAAGTTCCGGTGAAGGAACATAAGTTTCAGTGTGTTTCAGTGGTGAATACTTAGCGCTTGACTCGATGGAACCGCAAGGTGAAAGGTCGGCAACAGGTATGTTTTGAACAAGTGTCGATCAGCGGCGAGCAAATCAGCGCAAGAAAAAGCGGCGAAATAACCTGGTGAACCTGGGAATGCGAAAGGGTGGAAAAGTCGCGTCACTGTGTTTCAAGCATGTACGGTGATCAGCCGTGATATCCTAGTCAATTGCATGGAGCTTTGCTGGCGACAGCCATGCAGCGACTCTGTCGCCCCCTGCTGAACACGAAAAGCCGGCATACAAACAAAGTACGCCTTGTAATGGGGTGTGACACACACACAGACGCACAGATCGAAGCGTCCTTCAATCATATCTATCTTGCCGTATTTCTGGAGCTTTGTTGGATCATGCCAGGCCAAACGTCATCAAACGTCCCTGATCCGTTTGCTAGTTTTGCACAAGCGAGATGCTGATTTGATCAAAACAAAAAATTTGAAGGGACTCCTGGAAGCGGAGGCTGCCACATACACACGCACAGAACGGAGCTTCACCAATGATCCTAAATGGTCGAAACCCCAACCTGTCGTTTTTGCGAGGCTCAGAGTTTCAAGAGCTGTCCAGATATGTGAGTTTTTCCTCAAGAAGCTACCGCTGGCTACAGAAACACAGAACATTTGGAGGTTTCGCAAATCCGGTCTCTTCACAGAGCTCTGAGAAGTCATGAACGATCCCGAGGACCAAAAGGAGCTTAAACTACAGATTTACACTAGCTGACAGGCTAACAAGTGAGGACTTGCAAGAAAAAAACCGATGGCAAACAGCGCCGTGATTTCGAGCTTTGGGTTGCACATATTAATCCTATCCCAGACTGCACGACATCATTTTCCGGCAAACATCGGCTCTGTTGCAAAAAGCAACTCCTCAAGCATTGCAGCTCATGCTACAACAGATTTTGGTGGTATGCTGCAACATCTCAGACAGAATTCTAGCTGGTCAGCGAATCGGATACAGCACCTCACAGGCCACCAAAGGAAAATGGTGCACGCGCTAACCTGTGCAGTGCCTGAGTTTCAATTTGTTCCCATCGAATTGGATGCCCTCAGCTCAAGCTTCTCCCCAAGCCCTGGGATATGGCTGGCACGGGGCCGTGCAGTGGCCGTGGATTGGAAAGTGGTCCTCAATTCTGCTTGCCATCTTTGGAGGTGTGGTGCATTTGGAAAGCGATGTTTTTTAACAGAGTATTGTGACCGGGTGGGGCGGAGACGTTTGACGTGTGCAGGTCTCTGATAGTAGCTGCCAGCGCTTGGTTGAGGCATCACCTTTGCAGGGCCTCAGCCCTGAAACGCCCGGGGTCTCCAGCCGCACATGGCAGGACGTGATGTTTACTAAGCGCAATTTGAGTGCATGCTTCAAGGTTCAATGACGACGTTCACATTTGATTGGTAGAGGCGGTCAATGTATTGATATTTGTGTTTCACATCACAGTGTTCAATCTATTTGCAATCCTTTTTGGCTCAAGTTTTGGCAGCATGGCGAATCGAAATTTCCGAAATGTCCCTCTCTCGGAATCGCGCGTGCTCTCTCCACGGCACCGTGCTTTGCTCCTAGCATGCGTGCTGAGCTGCTTAGCATGGGCCTTTGGGCGGGGTCCCACATTTTGTGGGCCTTTGGGGCCTTGGCCGCCGGCAGGGACAGGTCAGCACCCCATGCCGGCAGCGCAGCGCGTATCTCAGCCTTCCTTTGAAGGTCTTCGCTGTCTTCGCCTGAACCAGCTTAGTAGGCGTGCAGCCGATCCAAAAGGCTTTAGTGAATTGAAGAAGCAGCTGCAGATCCAAGCTGTGGGAAGAGGAAGGGGCAGCTTCATTTTTCAAATGGGAGGTGTGAAAATCTTGGTGAACCCAAATCTTCAAGGCTCCAATCTGAAGCCGGAGACCGTGCATGAGGACTTTGACTACGTTTTTCTAACATCAGAGGAACCAGAGTTCTTCCACCGTGACACTGTGGCGAAGATGAAGCTAACAAAAGTGAAGTTCGTAGCATCTGCCAAAGCTGGGCAGGAGAAATTCGGGGTTGATTGGGATTCAGCTGTGTGCTTTTTGACTCCAAGATGTTCCATTTCTTTTGTCGGCTGTCGACAGGAGCTTGCAAAGATGATGGTGCGAAATCTGGCAGTGCTACAAAATGGGCCTGGCGGGCAGTGCTGCTTGGTTGCCCTGGCTGCTGGCAAAGAAATCAGTCGAGTCTAGCAGAGTCTACCCGGCTACCACCGCATAACTGATGGTTGCAGGTTTGAGTCTAGGATAGTTTAGGTGTTGTTGGCGGATGTTGGCGGTATTTAAAATTCTCAAGACATTCTGTTGAGGGAAGAGTAGGTCCTTGCCTGCACTAGGCTTCTTGCAAAGCCGGGACAAATCTGGCGCTGCTGTTGGCATCCTTTCGGCGCCGGGCGCTGGTGGTTTGCCGTGGGAACGGCAGGAACATTGGCATGTAATGTGAGCATTTGTTTGTAGAAAGCATACCTTAAAGTTTAAAGCAAACATGCCAAACATGCTCTGTAGATCTCTGTAGCCTGTTTCCAACACGCCAGGAGCAAGCATTTGTTTTTGTGAACTTGGAGAATGGAGAAGCCGTGGCTTATGAGGCCTTTGGGCAATTTCTTGGGAGAGGTGCGGGATCGAACAAACCTGGCATTCCTGAGGAAGCATACCAGGTGGATTATTTAATCACTCCGGATCTGCGAGAGGCTGCAGGCGTAGCCTCTGGTCTTGCTGAGAAAGGCGCTAAACTGAAAGCAGTTTTGCGACTTCCGGGCGAAGGTAACCCGTTGGATGATGATGTCAATCCCCTGTCGAGCATAGATCGAGCTTTTGGCATAGAAGATACGGCAGAGGATTTTCAATCCTTCCTGGAGGATCAAGGCTCCAAGAAGGCAGAGCTCTCGGAAACAAAGCTCATCATGCTAACAAGTGATGAGAGAGTTGATCTTACTCCTTCGGCGTAAGGGTGCAGAGCTGCGCCCCTCGCCCACGTATCCCAAATTCAAATCGACCCATCCAGTGCAGAAAAGAAAGCAACTGTCCGGTAAGTCGCACTCATATTGTGTTTATGTTATGTCCATGATATGTCATGCCAAAATGTGCATGTTCGCAGATGTTTACTGTGCCAATAGCTTTCCCCCTTCATTGACTTGTTGCATGCAATTGTTTGGCTATCACACTATCCCATCTCCATTTGCCAGCACTATCAAGTTTAAATGCAGGAACTCGCTGCAGTGGCAACACAGCTGCCAGATGTCCGATGGCTCGGGCGACAGGTTTTCATGTGGTGCGGCACTCCACAGGAGGACAGTTCCTCACGGTATGCAAAGTTAAGCCAGACTTGGGGAGCAGCAGTTGGCAGATACGAGATGTAAATGATATAGCTGGGTCGGTGACGATTTGGGCGGCCAGAACACGAAACACCGCTTGATTTGCATGATGTACTTCGCAAGTAGGTTTTGGATGGTATGAGACTGCAAAGTAGCTCGTTAGAGTTGACTGTCAACCGTGAGGACTTGTGGAATGACTTTGCGGCCTTGCATCAAAACAAGATCACGGATTTAGAAAGGCTTGACCATCGCAACTACTTTGGTGAGACTCCTGGCATGAACCGTCAGCACATCCTCAAGTACACCCAAGGGAAGAGCGTTCTAGGAAAGAGGAAACTGACAAGCCTCCTGTTTGGTGACCGACTGTCTTCTTTGGATGCTCCGCGGTTTTTCTGCACGTGCTTTCACGCAAAGGGAGTGAGAAAGAGAGAGGGAGAGCGAGAATGCGAGAAATGGAGCAAGAAAGAAAGGGAGCAAGTGTGCGAGGGAGCGAGCGAGGAAGAGGAGAGGTGAGAGAAGAAAGAAGTGATAAGAGAGAAGAGAAGAGAGAACAGTTGGAGAGCTGCCAGTGTAGAAGATGTTAAGAACTAATTAATTTGGTTTAATGTGTTGCTTTTTGGGTTTCTCAGATTCATTGATAGGAGCCTTCATATGTTTTGCTCATTTTTGAGCCTCTCCCACTTCCACAGTGCCATACCGGAAACCTGATATTGCCGTGAATGTATTCTTGTGCTCAGGAAAGCCTTGCGATTCGGTGGTGTTGACATTGTTTTGCGTACCCTTGCCCTGTTTCGAGCTGATGAGCGTGTTGGCTATCATGGTGTCGTCTCTTTGTTCACAGAGCCTTTGCAAGGAAGAGCACGCTCGACTCTTGGGTTTGAAAGACTGGCACACCATACTGGATGTAAAGATCAGAGTTTTGTTTCTTCGGGGAGTTGAATCGGAGGAATATGCCAGGAGGCATCCTTTGCACGAGACACAACACACAGCACCACTGAGTGAGCGAGAGCCCAGGATACTGCATTATGCTGCTCGCACCGAGTTTTTCTTGCACCGGCAGAACTTTGCCAAGCACATTGCTCCGAGACTTGAAGGCTGTTCGAGCAAAGAACCTGATTGCCTTTCTCCTCAGCGGAAGCTTTGACAGCACATGTTCATTTACTCTATTTTGTCAGGTATCATGCTGGTGAAGTGATGCAAGGTGCTTCAGATTTTCGTGTTTGGGCCACGATGTGCTTTGGAGTCGTGGGGTCAACTCCCCCTCATGGTGCAAAAAGTCCATGCTAAGGATTGCCAATACCATGCACCTCAACTTGTTTCAGTCAGTGTTCTTTTTTGTTTGCATGCGGCACATTGGGCAAGAGCCACTGGCCACGGGGCAACGCTCAGCCGTGATGACTTAGTCAACTGAGGCTGGTTTTGGTAGCACCCCCGCAGACACCTCGAAAGCTTCTGGCTTTTCGCTTGGTCATGAACCGTATTTGGGCAGAAGCTAATGGAGAAAGAGACAGGCGAATGTTTGGCAGTGACCAATCCTGAAGTCAATGAAGTTGTTGCATCACCGAATACATGATATAGAATGATATCGTACATGTATGTTTGACTTGACCATATATGTATATATTATATTATATACATATATTCATGTGGGAGCTGCCGCTTGTGCCATGTGTTCCATGTGTTTTGTATTTGTGCCTGTGCCCTGCATACTGAGCACAGTTTGCATGGGCTCAGGATTCGGAGCTTTTCTTGCTGCATCTATGGACGACATGGCATGCAGCTGCTTGATTGATGGTTGCTTGTTGCTTGTTATCTTTCAACTGGCCAGATTGGGGCTAGATTCCCAAGTATTTGAGTGCACAGCTTGGACAGTTTAGAGTTTGCAACAACTTGCAGATTTCGAAGTGGGGAATCGGAGGAGGGCTGCAAGAATGCAAGCTTCCAAGGTATATGCAGCACGTCCACAGGTTGGGAAGAAGTCTTTTGCAACGCAGACATTCGTGGCGCCGCCCGTGTTCTTTGGCACTTGTGCGAGGACCCGCAGATGCAATGAGCCCTGAATTGGTTTGCTGTTGAACTGGTGTTGGCACGAGGTCTTTCTAGGGATCCTGGTTAGAGAATGCTTAGACTTTGACTTTCAAGCTCGGGGTTCATTTTTGGTGGTTTTGTTCTTCATGTATATAGTGGTTGAAGTTGATCCCATAGTAGCGTCGCTGTCGCCATTCTCATAGTCACAGTCATGAGATCATGGGCGAAGTTTGGTGCCTTTGAATCGAATGACAACGGTCTCAGCATGGGCACATTCGGAGGGATGCCTTTGTGGTTGGTTGCAGAGTGTGGCCACATCTCCACCATCACTCTTTGTTTGAGCAATTTGTCCGGCATACACGATTCCAGTCCACCATAAATACAGTAAAGGGGTGTGAAGGGACCATAGCATGGCGCGGAATGAAATTGGTTGTCAGACTGTCAGATGCACCTTGTAAGCTGGAGTAGCTGCAAGATCTCCAGTTTCGGAGTCCCTTACAATGTTAATGTTAAAATCTAAAATGGTATTCTATGGATATGGTGAATGATGATGCCAGGACAATGGCCCAGCGTTTCCTCCAAGAGGTCGAGGGTCCAGGTGTCACGCAGAGATGCTTTTGGAGGCCCGGCACCAATCGAGCATGATAGACTCATCAGAATTGCGCAGACTAAAATGGGTACTGTAGTCATTGGCCCAAGCCAAAATGAATGGCAATAGGCATTGGGACACATTCTGTAGGCGCAGAACCTGCAGCTTGTACGTCCATTGGATGCCTTTGAGCTGGAGCTAGAAGGGTCTACCGCGCAGGACGTATATATATATATACATATAACTTTATCGAATTTGCAACTGTATGATTATATATAATTGTTCTTCATGTTTGGCTGATTGCCTGTTGAAGACTTGCATTGCACCACACAACTAGGCAACAGGATGCAACAGGTATGTGTGATGCCTGTGGCAAGCAGGACCCGCTAGTGGGCGAAAGTTATTCCTTCCGCAAGCTTGCGCAAGCCCCGGATAGACGGTTGCCAGCATGAACTATATCCAGCTCAATTCTGCCTCAGGTGCAGCGCTGCATAGCCCGCCGTGCCTTTGAAAACGCTGGCCTAAAGCTTCTGTGTGAGGAGAGGGTTTGTATCATCATTCCCGTGGGGCGGTTTCCCCAATTTGGTCTTGCTTTTTCCCCACATGTCAGGTCAAGTTTTTCAGATGTTTAAAACTAGTTTTCTTCCTCCTTCCTCCCTCCCTCCCTCCCGCCCGCCCGCCCTCCCTCCTGCCGGACCTCACAGCAAGCGCCAGATCGCAGTGGCCAGTCTCGGACCTCAACAGCAAGCGTCAGATCACAGTGGGCGCTCACAACCACAAAAACAATCACAACCACACAGCCACAAACATACAGCCACAGTACACGCAAACACACAACCGCAAACACACAAGCACAAGAACACAAGCATCGCACACAACAACAGCACAAGCACCAGCACACAACCACGACACACAACCACAAACACACAACCACACAAATGTGGCACTTTGCCTGGAAGGTGATCACTGGGTAGCGCTTTTGGATGCCAACTGGAGACCCTGGCAGCACCCCGGCGCGAACTCCTTAACACTAAAATAGCAATCCAAAGCCCGAGGGCCCACAAGCAAAGTCAAAAAGTCGAAAGCCACAAAGCCCACGACCATGGCAGCATGCTCCTCACCATGGCACGAAAACAAATGATTGAAATGTCATGGTGGGGATCACTCAAAGTAAAGTATTTTTGGGCAATTGTTGAGCAAGAGGTATCTCCTAAGAAGATTGCCTAATTATTGCTTACCCCATTGCATTGTCAGTAGCTTGGGGCTTCTGTGTGCTTTCAAAAGGCACTTGTTGAAGATTCGCTTGCCGGGTTCATGTCGGTCGCGTAGGCTGTTGGCCTTGCCTTTCATCCTTTGCCAGAAGGGCCAGAAGAGGCGTGCAGCGTAGAAGATAAGTGTCGTTGAAAAACGAACTGAGAAACTGAAGGCGCTCTATATGACTACTTGTATAAGTATATGTATATACATATATATTGATATAGCCGCAACGTTCGTCATTGTGCAAGATGTAGTATGTATTGGAGCCTGCTGAGACATGCCACGCCGCGTTAGTCTACATAGTTGCTGAGTTTACTGATCCTTGTTGGGTCGCACTTCAGACGTGTTCGTCCTTGTATTGCCTCGTGGTGCATCTAGTAACGCACACGTTTTCCAACTTCATTTTCGAGCAGTTACATGTCGCACGTATCCTTCAGACGCAATCGCCCAAGATAGAAGGGGCCAGAATCATTTGCAAAAAGAGAAGTGGAGGGCGAGAGAAACGAATTGGTGAATGGGACACTTTGCAATCCGAACCTGTTTGTTTCGCAGGATGCTCTCAGAATAGCAACAGAGCAGGAGAATCAAGCGGTTTTCGCGTTAAGCCTTACCTGCACGCACATGGCAGAGGAGCACCTGTGACTTTTGAAATTTGGTTTTGTGCGCAACTGTTGTATTCAGCTGCTTCTTGCATTTGGAAATGCTTACTTGACCTTGTTGGGCCACAGATGGCAGGACCTTCGTGCGTCAAAGCGAAGCAGGGATTGCCTTTGACAAAATTGACCGAACTGAACTGATCCAGATTGCACAGAACACTTACTGATCTAGTGTTGACGTAGCGACCATCTCCCCAGCGCAGGCTCCGGTCACCTGACGGCACAAGATCTCAGCGTGATGGCGCAAACATTTTGGTTTGAAACTCGGCCCATCACTGTGGAAGTCAATCGTCACGTTCCAGGTGACCCGGAATGGCAGTTCACGTAGCAATACTACCGAAGAACGCCGTTGCCTCGCTAGGCCTGAACTGACTCAAGATGAGCTCCGAGATTTGTTTCAAAGTGTGTGCCGCAACAGGTCAGGCAATGGGCTCAGCCTCGATGTCAATGTCAAATTGTAACTGCATGGCTGCATGGCTTATCATGGCCTCATAACCTGAGAAGGACCTGTTTTTGGACTCCGAGGATATATAGAAATGGCCGAGTTTTGCGCAGCGTTGGGGTTCGACGAGCGCAGCACATATTTTGGCGCAGAGGCATTAAGGCGTGGTGAATTCAACCGAGTTGTATTGCAGTGATAGTTTGCAATGTTTTCGAGACAGAATACACGATTTTTCAAATGATTCCAGTTTAGATTTCCTGTTCTATGAAATGGGGTGTGTCTCGAGGCCACTATGTTTGGTATTTTAGAGTGCTGCAGCAAAATGGGGCCGCATCGTGTGGCAAAACCCATTTTGTATTACTGTAATGTTGATATATACATAGACATAGACGTGAGGTTGGGACGTAGCGTAATGAAGATTTTGCAGATGACTTTGACCCACTTGCAAATCTTAGATTGGAATTTGAAGAGACCTAAAAACATATCAAAACACATCAGCATGGTATGTCAAGGCCATATCGTTTTGAGCCATTTTGTCGAATCTTTCCATCATGATCCAACATGACTGTTGGGTGCTCACCATTAACTGTAGTGCAATGTTCCTCTTCATTCAATAATTTTGTTTATGTATGTTGGATTCAAGCATCTTGTAGTCAAGGAGGGCCGGGTCCTTGCGAGATGTAAATTTGGGGTGGGGTCCCTCATTCTCTTGTGCTACAGAATTCACTTCTCGACCCCTCCACCTTAACTCGAATGGGGACGTCAACGGGAGTTCAGTTAAGACTTCAAAGCTGCAAACAAATAACATAGCAGAGAATGTGTATCCTTTGAAGTTGCAGTCCGTTGCAGTACGCAAACTTAGTAAACTCTGCGTGTACGCATGCTTTCCCTCAATAATTGAATTGCTTGTCTCTTTTGAGCGTCCTGTGATCAGGTCTCTCTCCAAGCTGGACGGTGCTTTGCAAGTTCTTCTGGACCGAGTTCGCATTTCAGTGCTTGAGGCCATAGCTGAGGGAAAAGCTTACTTTGAACTCACAAGATACATAGTACATCGCACGTGTTCGAGCAAGTTTCAAGGGCATGTCATACAGTAGTCGGAGTCGGTGCTGATAGTTATACATGCCCAGTCACATGCCATCTCTTGCTTAATTTTAACCAGAGCTTGTAAGAGTAACACCTGTCACCTGTACATGTACATACTACATACACTTTTCATTCATGCACCATGTTGTTGTTTACGTTTTTTTGGTAACATGGGAAACCTGTCTTTGTTGACGTCATCATATTCTCAATGCAGCGACTACCAAATGCAGACACTCAGACCCAAGAGCACGTTGCAAAGCCTGAATGCACGGCATTTGTTGGTGAACGGAGATTCTTCAAAATGCTGGCTGCCATGGCTGGCATGAGTTCATGGAATTCCTCTTGGCTGATAGTGCTGGCGAGATTTGCCGCTATCCTTGGAGCACGGATGTTGACGAACGAGTAGTTACCTCAGCGGAATTGATTCAATAGCTATTCAAACTCCAGAAGAAGAATGAGCAAAGGGAAAAAGTTAATATATATATATATATGTGTGTGTGTAAAAATATGCATGAATGACTCCTAAGCTGTCCAGAGTGTTCTTGTGTTTGCAGTTTGCACCAGTTTGCCATTGTTTCTCAGGCCCTTGTCCTCTACCAGGCGGTGAATGCCCGTGGCCTTCCGACTCCAAGACAAGAGAATACTGTAGGTAAGGATTGTTATGATTCAGTAAGGGTCCCTTTATATCCCTTAAGTATAGCCACCCGTACAGAGGCTTCAAAGAGGGGCCCTTAACCCTTACCTTCTGCCCTTTCTTTGATGATTTGCGTCCTGAAGACCCCATACTACGGCGAATCAGCACGTGCTTGACGGGCATTTACATGTGCATACATGTGCTTTCCACTTGTAGACTGTGCAAGGTCGCTCATGCCGCCTCTTCCATGGCCACAGGGAATTGATTCTAGGCAACAACTCCCAGTTGAACTGTGAAGAGTGTGTTTGATTGGTGGTTGTTTGTCGCAGGGGTGTTTGTAGAGCATGTTGCCTTCGCGTCACGACATGCACAGATGACAATCCTAGGAAGCCCTACCATTGGCTGAGCACTCTTGATGCAAAGTTGGGCCGCAGAGCTGCAGTTGAAAGTTGAAAGTGACCATTTTGGCTTGAAAAACATGCAGCTCATTGCCATGGCTATGACAGCAATGTCGATTGTGAAGGGCGTACTAGATGCCCGGAAGTATGAGTAAAGAGCAAACTGTTGCATCACCAAGGTTCATTGATGTATGTAGCCAAGGTTCATTGATCCAAGTGGTTTGGACTGGAAACGCTCAGAGCGTCCGACATGAGCGTGCATTCGCTGCAGTCAAGTGCCATGGCGAACTCCGTGACTGAGAGTCCAAGCTTTCAACAAAAAGTGAAAAGGGTACTAGTGTATACTGTAAGATTTGATTGAGCAGCATGTGCTTCTCTCAGTCTAGGTCAGACGTCGACAACACTGTGGTAACGTGGGGTGACACAGAGTGGGGAGGAGACTCGTCCAAAGTTCAGCAGCGGCTGAAGAAGGGAGCGACCCAGGCACGAGCCGGGACGTGCTTGGACATGTGGAGACTACACCCGTGATTCCACGGCACAGGTCAGCACACTGCGCGGAGAGTAAGTCCACTTGAGATTTAAATGACGGAGCTGGTTTGATCCCCCTTGCCTAGCAGAGTTTTTTGGGGCTGTCCCCAGCCAAGGTTCGTAAAGCTTAGGCTTCCACGAAGGTGTCAATTCTATACATGTGAAAGTTTGAGACTGCGGGGCGGAGTGCCCCACCGCTACACATGTTATTTTCAAATACCTTCTGGCCAATTCAACAACATCAAAAAGTCGTTGCATCATCATCATCATCATCATCATCATCATCATCATCATCATTCTTTCCTGACGCTTTGCATCCAGCAGATAGGGTGGACCTCTCCGGTCGGAGCCCTCAAAATGGCCCCACAGATCAGATTGCGCAGAGGATTGCAGCCAGGTGTTGCTTAGCCTGGGTCTGCCAAAGTCCTCGCCAAAAGAGGTGCAGAACAGCATGCTGCAGCAAACATGAGCGTCTATGTTTATCCCATTTCCCTGCCACATAAAAGTATGGTTGACAGGCACAAACACGTGTTGGCTGGGCCTGTGATCTAATGATTTGCAGTGCCTTGCCCCTCAGGGGCTCAGCGAGCCCCGGAGAAGCGTTCTCCTCCAGATGCATCAACATGTTTGGTGGCCAGCGGCTGCGGCGATGTCAAAGCCATCCAGCATTCGCTCCCAGTCCTTTGCCCTAGCAGTACCTTAGATTGCTGGCCATCTGATCCTGACCGAGTCAAGGAGTGTCCTCCAGCGGCACTGGCGAAGGTCCCACCCTGAGAGTCTTAGCGTTCTCTGCGTTGAAGCTAGCGCAGCGGTTGGTGTTAATGTGGTGCCTCGGAGCAGTGATTCTTGTTGGGCTTCGGAAGCAACCCAGCCGCTACGCCACTCAGCCGGGATAGCGCCTTGAGCACGAGAAAGGGCCGTGCTGATACACGTGCTGAGGTGTCATCCTCAGTCGATGCCAGGAGAGTGGACCGTCGGAAGGTTTTGCAGGCTCGACGGAGGAGCTAGGTTAATGCTGTCTCTTCCTGACCATCACCATCCCGGCATCGACTGAGGATGTAGTAAATGTAGTTGTTGAGGGCAATGAGACCTTGTTCTTGAAGTATGGTACCAAACTGCGAAGCATCTTTGCTCTTCGCAGTTTGGTACCATACTTCAATAACAAGGTCTGATTGCGCTCAATTTGCGCTTGGTTCCAGTGCTGCGTCCATGAATGAAAGGTCTTGAAGTTCACCAATCCAAAATTACCTGTCAATGGAGTCAAGGTCAAAGTCTCCAGTCAGAAAAAACAAAATCCTGTTGTGAATACTGCGCACTGTCTTGTCCAAGAGGGGCCATAGTGAAGCTCTAGAAGTCAAATTGTCCTGCAAGTTGCTTAGCCAATGACAAGGTGCATTAGCTCCAAGTCAAAATGGACATCCTTTATCGTTTGGTCCGTCCAGGTCGGTCCTGTTCGAGGGCCCAGCTGAGCCGTGAGCCATTGACCTCTTTACCAAGTGACACCGTTCCATGTGGCATTGCATTCTTGATAGCTCGCACATAAGCTCTCTTGCAGGGTCTGTGTTTGTTGTTCCTATGTGGATCTGTTTGAGCCAGGTCGTTCCCCTAAGTGAGGCATGATGTTCGAGATGAGTATAAGGGCCATGTCAGAATGTGTGGCAGGCCTGACACCCTCCTCGGGCCACCACTCACGTCCTTCTGTCATAGTTGATGACTTGACATCGTCGATGGGACCTGGCTTAGGGCTTGAGGTGCTTGTTCTTGGGCTTCCTGATCAATGCCTGCATGAAGAAGAGCCAGGAGAGCTGTGGTAGTCCTTGGCGAACAGCCTGGCTAAAGAGGGGGTGTTGCAGCGTGAGATGAGCGCGAGGAAGTCGAGAAGCTCGAGCGCAGGATCAGACAAGGTGTCGACAAGCTCGAGGTGAGGCCTGATCAGGACGAGGAGGAGGAGAGAGGCCAGCAGCGCAAGTTAAGGTTGAGCAGGGTCGGGCGCACAAGCGCCGGACCACGTTGATCAGGAAGGCCACTCCATGACAGCAAAGCGTTTGAGCACGAGTGGCCTTTATCATCATCATCGTCCTCGTGCTCTTCCTCGTCCTCCTCGTCGTCGTTTGATGTCATGATGGCAGTTTGTGTTGGACGCACTGGGATGATGCTTCATGTTGGCTATTTTGGCAGTTTTGTGTCGTCATGTCAGTTTGATTTTCAAATTGCATAAACGTAGTTTTTTCAACGCGCGCAAAGTGTTCTTTGAATACATAAAAAACAAACGTTTCCCTGCGAAGCCTGTGCTTATGAGGCTTTCATTTTTTGGGTGACCTTTCGCGAGCGGGGTGACTATACCACGGGGATATGATATGTGATTTCTCGCCGACATGTGTAACTTAACCTTCCGCTTGACGATTTTACAATAATATCTTATCGGCGTCACTATCGACGTCAACATGTCCTTTAATAGAATGGGTGGCCTCAAGGCCCATGTAACAGCGTTTGTTGAATATGCAGATGACCTTTAAGCCAGTGTTTTTGTAGTATCCAAAGGAAAATGACGTTTGGGCCTGTAACTTTGTAAGGGCTTTGTGGTGGAAGAATTAATATGTGTCAACCTTGATGCTTTGGATTTTGTAACAGGGGCATTTCGCGCGAGAGCCTGTCATTTTGTAATGTTCTTGTATGCCTTTGAAGAAATAACTATAACGTTTTCATGTGTTGTTTGCAGGTTTGGAAGCAACAGCTCGCACCAAGATCATGCAACATGCACAAAACATATCAAAGAAAAACACCATACGGCCATATAGAATCACGGGACCGAACATCATTATTTCTATTTTTTGGGGTCCCAGCACCAGTGGCAACAAATTTGCAGACTACCACCCCTACATACCCCTACTATTTTTTATTTATGTTAATTCATTATAGTGATTCCTCAGGGAATATAATATAACAAACCACAAGAATCTTTATTACAGAACAGTTTTTGACTAAGGGACTGGTGCTGCCCAGTATGTGCATTTAATTCGATGCGCAGTTTGTGCAGGTCTTTGGCACGTTCGGCGCATTTGAGGTTACCAGCGAGGACACTGCTTTGTTCGTAATTGTGTTCTGCTGCCGGTTGGCTGGGTATACCGTACAGTACATATATATATATATATAATCAGTTTTCGGTGCCTGCGATGAGTGCTTCCTCCTTTCGGGTTAAAACGCCACCATGGGCAAATCATTAGATCTTTGCATGTAAGTTGGTGTATGTCTTCACAGCATCACTGAATCCGGCAATTCTTTAGCTGGACGTGTAGCCTTGGGCAGACTGAGAGCCAACCGTGACACCTGGGGGATCGGTCAATAGTGCAGAATGCCTTGCGGCTCGCGCAATGATCAACCCTGAAGGAAGTTCAGCAATGCAAAAGCGCTTTTGCAGCTACCAAGGCACAGCACCTCCCATTGCAGTTGCTACGTACGTTGCGGTGTTTCATTTGTTGATGATGCCAACGTATGGATCAATTGATTGTCAACGGATGTTCATGCATGTTCAAAGTTGGGATACGAGTATCTCCAGCACAATGTCGTCTCCCATAATCTTTTGAGCCTATGCCTACACTACCGGCACTCTATCTCAAATGGCAAATGGACTCCAACAGCCAGAGCGAAAGTCCTTGAGTGGAGTGTATACTGTGTACGTTTGTATTGTTTGTTTGAATTCTGAATTGCCCTTTTCATTCAATTCTGCGCACGACGCACTGAAAATCCCCTGAAGGCCAACGGCCTGAGACCCAGGATGTGCAGACCATTAAATCTGTTTTGAACATTGCATTGTAGCTTATGTATGCTTATGTGGTTTGAGTATGTTTGTGATGTCGGCTCCAGTATAATCAACCCCCGAGATGTTTTCTTATTTGGCAGGATGTCATAAGGGCAATGTGTATTTAATTGGGAGGTCAATCAGGAGAGGTCACCAAGACTAAATCTTTTCATGAGGAGTACTGTAAAACGCGGCAGACTGACTAAATCTCTTCATGATGAGAGGTCACCAAGACTAAAGCGAAAACGTAATTTGTTAGCTGGTGAACTGTTTCTTAGATAAATTGTTTGGGGTGGCTTTGGGATGTTGAGGGGGTTGCGGTAAGGTTTAGACTGCAGCCATGCAAATGACTGATAGAGACTTCAGTGAGTCTTAGGTTAAGTCCTATGTCAGGGAGATGATAGATAAGGTTATGAATCATGAAGGATGGCATGAGGCAGGTGGCTGGGACCAGTGAGACACTGGCCATGAAGACAGAGTATTGACCATGCCATGGAGAAGATGATTCTTCTGTGGGTGTGTGCGGCAAATTCCGCACATATCCGCCAATTTTGGCAAATAAGCTTCACTGAACAGGCAATGCCAAAGGCATGAGCCAGGACCAAGAAGGTGCTAGAATTGAATTGGAAAAAGTCATTTTCTGTGAACCCCTAGTATGTAACAGCATTCACTACATGTCTATCTAGCTAGCTACGGTTCACCAAGGTACATGAAACATTGTACCCGACCGTCGCTTGCATTGGCTCAAGAAAACACTGCCCCTTGCGGTCGTTTTCTTCAGGGTGCCGTACGGGACGACCTGTGGTCGTTCGTACTTTCGCTTTTGCTTTGCACCTTTCGTCGCATCTCGCACTTTCGTTCGTTCGATTGCTCGCCCGCTCTCGTTCGTTCGCCCCTTTGCAACCACGGGTTCTCGTCCTTCGGACTCGCCCAGGGTTGTAATTAATATAGACCGTGCTTCCAGGGATCTGGCATACTTCTTCTACCACCTTCCGGTTGAGAGGGTTGCCTGGGCGTTTCCCTACGCCCCACCTGGTTTGTACACTCAATTGGTTATCAGCCGTAGCCGTGAGCTACAGGCATCATCACTCGACCCCATCCAGTGGTCCGTTGCAGCACGCTTTTCGCACCTGCATAGGACACCAATGGGTCGTGTCAACCCCCAGCCGCAAGCAACCGGCGCCGCTGCCTCTTCATCGGCTGCAGCACCAGCCACGGCGCCTGCTGGGGACCCTCAGGATCAAGAAGCATCCGCTTCCCCTGAGGGTGTGGTCGGAACCGCGCCTAGCGCGGAGACCACGGACCAAGAGTTTGGGGAGGCCGTGCAACCACCCCTTACTCCCCGTGTCGCTTCAGGCATTTCGTCCTCCCAACCGACATTCACGCCTCAGGGTTCAGAAACCGCCGAGGCGGAGGAGGTCGATAACCCTCAACCAGAAGAGCCTGTCGCAGAGCCGACCACCATCGAGTTGCCTCCAGAGACCAGCACACTTGGTTCTCTTGACGACGAAGCCCCTCTTGTTGAAGCAGAGCTCCAGACCGGAACCGCTGCTTCGCGCGGAGAGGTCTCGCCAGCTCAAGACGGCACGTTAGGCCCAGCTAACGCCGACGAGCTGCCCTTCGATGTCTTTTCGTTGTTAGGCCCACCTAAAATAGAGCCCACAGCCAAGGAGGAAGCAGAGGAAGAAGTTTATGCCGATCCCTCAACCTCCCCTGTAGGCCTACCTCCACTGCATACTCATAATCATCCAACGCAGTTCGAATCATTGGCCACCGATCCGGTCTTTGACGAGACTGAGGTTGACTTTGGAGACGAAGAGCCAGGCGACGACCCTGATGATCAGGCGGAGCCCGCTCCCAAAGAAGAGCAGCAGGAAGGGGAAGAGGCTGACGACGAAACCGCGCCTGGCGCGGAGACATCACAAACAACTTCCGCAGCCGTGGATCCTCAGCCGAAGCGTACGCGCGGCGCGAGGGGAGGCCAAAAACACCAGTTCGAACAGTCCGACAAGAAGTACGCTCTCACATGTGATCTT